GAGGGCTTTGGTTTGAGTTCACCGTGTACTTTCCGGCGGCTGATTCAATAGCGCCAGCCGAAGCTTTCGATCGCCTGATGACGTCAGTAGAGAGCACTGATTTTGCGATCGGCAACACTGATTTGTACATCAACGACTACCAACCGCCTTTCTCATGTTATCGTCACAACTGTGACAAGAACGCCTTACTGATAGACCGTGGCGATGGCGGCTGTGCCTGCAAATGCAGAGAGGGCTACGTTGATGCTGACGTTCGTCACCCAGGAATGCAATGCAACAAAATACGGAAAGGTATAACTCGGTAATATCAAAGATGTCGTATGCCCATATTCTACTTATAATATCACTTCTACAAATGGCAGCCACCTCCTCGAGTTCGAAAATGCATTTCTATCCGTCAGTTTTCTGAGTCGACTACTCGTTTTGGGTTTCTGAGACAATAGTTTCAGAAGGTCTTCCACCAATAGGGAAAGTTCTACGCGCCAACGGTGACTATGTGCCTAATTGTGACCTTTCCATCCGAGAATGGTAGCATCCCACAAGCAAGGCTACCTCGGATTGTCGTGGTCTTAAACTTACGAGCTTCACTGGGAGGAATCTCACTTCTTCAGCTTGTAAATGGCATTGTGTCATCTTGTCATTGTCTCGTATTCATATCCGTAGTTAAAAGCTATACCATTGGGTAGGTGTATAGAATTTAAGACCAATAACTTCGCATTACTGATCAAGATTATGCATTTTCTTCATTTGAAATGAAAACCGTTTGCAGCATTTGGCAGTGAAGCGGATATGAATTTTGGAAAATGTGCATTTTCCATTCATGTAATTTCTAACAGTAAGCAACGACTGAGGAACTTGCTGGTAAGATCCCTCAACAGTAGCTTCCGAGATTCTTTCCAGGTACAACGCACCACCGCTAAACTTGCAAACGAGGCATCTGTCGCTCAGCTTTCCGATAACTTCGCGGACTGTCGCAGATCAAGGCATTTTTTCCTCGAAATAAAGCCAACCTGGCTGACAGTTCGATCTGTATTAGGCAGATATTTGTCTCAACCGTCACAGCATTTTATGATTTCCTCGATTTACCCTCAGATGCCGAGTGGAAATTTTTTCGAGAAACACACTATATACGATTCTCTTGATGTCCGGTGGAAACATTTTCCTGCTCCATGAGATAACTGCGCAGTGCTCAGTTAAAGAATGGACTTTAATTCCTCGAAATCCATGAGGATGGCATTTTGCTATTGAATTCGTGGAGGATGAATATTCGGCAGAGCAAGTTGGTTCATATTTTAAGATGGCGTAGGATGTCCTTTTTGACCAAACTGGAACGGTATTTTGTCATTGACAAAGCAATAGCTCGAGATAAAATATTCTCATTTCTGCAATTTCAGAGACACTAAAAATCATCTATATGACACTGTCATATGACTTGATTTTCGCAATAACGTTGTTACGAATATTTTCACTTTACGCTTCACATCGAATGCTTTTAATCTGAAACTTACTTATGACACTAATAGTGTTTGTCTCATGGACAAGTGTTAACCGAAGTTAGACTCCTTTAACAGAAATTTTATTGCATCCGTAATCTGAATTAGTTTTTAATTGTAATTTTTGTCATGCACTTTCTGACCACCTCAATTTATTGAACCATTTCCTTTGAC